TGAGTCTTAATAAGAGGCCTTTAATAGTTGAAAATTATCTCTAATAGTTGAAAATTATCTTTTGTTTTTGTTTTTAACAAATTGCACTAGATTTATGTACAAAGCATAGCCATTAATATCTATTGAAAAGAAACCACAACAAAGAAATCCCCCAAAACTTATTAGACCCTTTAGGGACAAATCATTCAAATCTTGGTCACAAATCATTCAAATCTCAGTCAATTGCAGATTCAGAACATCAACTTTACAATTATCTTATTTTGCAGTAGAACAAACTATATCCTCACTTTTTAAAAGGTTAGTTACCAGTATTCCTTAAGAGTCTCCACCTGAAGAAAGACCTTATCTATGATTAGATACTGTAATCAAAGATTCAAGTAAGTTAGCCCACATAAAAAACTACAGCAGTAGACACAGGCAAGAGCAGCAAGTGGGAAAGCATTCTCTTATCTTACTAACAATTCCTTCCTTCTTAAGATCATCTTTAAAGAAATAAAAATTTAAGTTTAATATCTTGTTCAACCAGTTCTTTTAAACTGTAACTTAAAATCCAAAAATTCTCCAATTAATCGACATAGCAATTCCTCCATTAAGTTAATTCAACTGTTGTAATTTTATAACCTGACATGCTTTATTTAAAATTTGGTTTAGTTTTTTTTAAGTTTATTTAAATGAGGGAATTTTAAACATTACTATTTCTTGATTAAATAATATGAAAACTGATGATAAGAATCAGAGATACATATAAAATAATAGAAACCACTAATTATGATGTTCTGGGTTTGCAGTTACTATTAAAAACCATGCTTTCGCATTTTTTCACATCAAAAGATTTTGTCAGTATTTCTCATCAGAACAGTAAACTATACAAATTGAATTTCAACAATTTCCATTGTCACTGGTAATTTTTATAGGAATAATTTCTATTAATGCTTGAAAACTATGAACTACATTTTATTTATATCATCAAATTAGAGAATAGTGTAAAACTGTAGTATTTCTCTAACATTTTTTTTCCCAGGATCCACCTGCTCTATGCTGCCCACTATAGGAAATGCAATATGGTACAGAGAAATGTAAAATTATGCTTTAGGGTTACTATTAGTGCAATCCCATAAAAAAAATACTCCCTGCGCACTTGGGGTCTAAGATAGGGTATTCTTGCCAGAGGCACAGACTGGTTAGTGATAACTAAATTTATTAAATATAAAGAGCATCAGTAGGAACAGACAGTACCAGAGACTGTATCTTGGTAATCCACACGTCAGGAGTAGCAATCGGGTTCGGCAGGGGATGGGGCATGGAACTTAGTGATTGAGGCGTAGCCTGCAGAAAAACGCAGTTTTGCACTAGAGACGAAATATGAGCGTCAAAAGCAACCTAAATAAAACGCTTAAAAAAAAAAAAACCCTCATGGAAATACAAATGATTGCTGCCACTGAAAAAAAAATTTGAAATAAGTTATTCCCAAAATGCATATTTAAGTTTTAACAGATGTATCTCCTCTTTTTTTAAACCCATGCATTCCTCTTACAAGCAAATACCCTTAACAGATTTTGCTTTACCTTTTTCTAGTTTTGGAGAAGTTGGACCATGTAGTAATCTGTTAAACATTAAATTTTATGTTTCTTTTTTCTTTGTCTACAGCATATCCAAAGTGTTATGAATTTAAATTCTATTCATCAGATATACTTTAGGACTCCATTTTGAAGATGACAGCTTCTTTTCAGAAAAGGGTTGTTTTTTTCAGAGTCAACTCTCCAGTTACATACCACATCTTAATTTTTTTTAAGGTCATTAAAACGTTAGTATCACACTCCAGGTCTTTACCCTTCGAAATTTGTAATTAAAAGCAAAACACACTATTGTATATGCATGTGTGTACACACAAATACACATTAACAGCAAACAGTGGCTTAAAAGTGGCAACCTCCCCCTGAAAAATAAAAAAAGTCATCCCTCCACTCCGCCCTTCATATGAAACAAGACAAACAGATTTACCCACTGCAGAGTAGGATACCAGAAAAGATGTTCTAACGTCTAGACCTGAGACACTGGCAACACACAACCCTAAATCCCGACTCCGACGACCTAAATTTCAGTGTACAGGCCTTCCTTCCCACTCCTGCCCCATCAGCACTATCCCGGACCCGGGTGCGGATCGCGACCACCTGGCGGGCCGGGGCTGCCGGAATCCCCAAGTACCGCGGGTTTCCAGCGACCCGGCTTCCCAGCGCTCCCGCTCCCGGCCGACCGCGAGTTCCCGAAGCTGGGCGTCCGAGGTTCCCAAGCCCACGACCCCGATGAGGGGGACCGAGGGTGCTGTGGACTCTGGCATTTAAAAAACTGTCGAAAAGTCTCGCTGCACAAGTGGCGCGGCTGAGGCCGCCGCTTTCGTCCCGCGTCGCCCTGTCCCCGTCCCCTCGGAGCGGGCCAGCCCGCTCAGGCGACTCTCCGCGAGATCGCGGTCAACTGCCGGGAGCGCGGAAGGGCAACGAAAGCTACCAAAACGCCGAGGCAAGTCCCCCGAGCAGTCAGCTGAAGCCTTCCCTTCTCCCCTTAGTTACAATTACCCCGGCAGCTTCCGGCGTTTCCTTCCAGAAAATGAAAATAGTTAAAAAAAAAAAAAAAAGCGTGGAGGTAACAGAAGTCGCTGACATTTTCCGTTGAATGAGGTCCCCTCGGCTCCATCTCTTAAGCAGAATCTCCAAACTCGAGTGTATCCTCAGCCGAGGTATTCCATGTTGACAGATCTCTCGCCTCCCACAAAATGGGGCCGAGGAGGCGGCCGCAGTCTCCTCTATGGGCGCCGCCATTTTGTGAGGCGGCGGCGGCGCGGCGGCAGCAGCCAGGGGTGTGTGTAATGGTTGAATAGAATGACCCCCTCTAGGGAATCCCCGGCGCTGACAGTTACGTAAGGGGCTGTGAGCAAGTGCGGCGTTTAGGGAATCCGCACAGCCCCGGCCACGCAACTCTGAGGCCCACATCTCCACCACCCCTAAGAGGACCGGTGGGGGAAGGGACGGATGACCTGGTCTCCCTCTTACCCCGCCCCCCCTCGCCGCGGGACCTGACCCGGCTTCTCCACTCCCCCAGCCCGGTCTCCGCCTTTCACTGACTTCCGAGACACTCACTGGCCCTTGGGTGTCAGGAACTTCCTAGCCACAGCCTCATTCCAACCCCATTTAAGAGAAACTTTTCTTGGGAAATAAATCCGTTTCCTAGAGTGAGCACCGAAAGCATGCTGGGCTATATTACATAATTTTTTTCACCACCAAATAAATGTTCCCTTTGGAACCACTACCTGAAATGATAATCATTCAGACCTTTATAAGCCTGTGACCTTGGGTTACTCGGTGACTTTGCCCATAGTAGACATCACTAAAATGGGAATAATGATACGCCTCATATACTATGACGCTTAATTAACATTCGTAGTAAAGGGCCGACTCCAACGCCCCTTGTAAATGCAAACTTAGGTGGGAGTATTTGTTGAGATGATTAGTATCTCTTCGGGCAGGCTGTTTTAAAATTAACCTTCAACATATTTTAACCGGGGATGGTATTTGAGACGTCTGAAAGCAAGAAGAACAAGGTCTTACTCAAGATTTGCTTAAGCGCATCTATCTTTCAGATACCTTAATATAAAAATAAAAGTGTTAATTATTGTCAAAAGTTCAAAAGATTGGTTCCCAACCAGTTTAATTACCGTTTGCATAACTCAGAATAAAATATCTAGTCTGATATGTGAAACCAACCAAAAGCAGGATGAATTGAGCATTACTGTATTTCCACAGAACTAGGACAGTTCACATTGTATTTAATTTACAGTTTGCTAAAGTTAGTCTGTGGATAATTCATGGAAAATGTGCTAATCAGGCCCAAAAATACTAGCACAAGGCTCAGAAAAGCCGATTCCTTTAGACCTTAAAAAAAAAAAAAAAGGTAAGAAATTGACTTTATTCCGATCTGTGAAAGATGCGTAGCGTGAGGAGCTGCTCCTCGGAGCTTGCCTTCCCTACCGAGCGCCAGACTGGTTCTGTCGGGCTGGCAGGGACTCCTAGTCGGCCCTTCCAACAGCCGGGCCGGGGACGCGAACATCGCCTCCACCCCTAACCCTGGAACAACCGGTAGTGGCCGTTTCCCCGCGCCGCCCCCCTTTCCGCCGGCTTTGTGTGCGTGTGAAATGTGCGGCACATTGCAGATGAACCCTAAGCCCGGCGAGCCGAGTCTATTGTTCCCCGCGAGGAGCTGCCGGGGCGGTGTGGAGCCAGGCGCAGTGCCGCGGCCGGCCCTCGGGGGTCGCTGTGCGGCGCTGGTGCCCAGCCGTGGCGGCGGCGCTGGCGGCGGCAGAGAGGGAGGCTGGCGGGGAAGGAAGCGGGCGGGCGGCGCGCAGCGGCTCGGCTGCCGCCGGTGCTTTCTGCCCGGGGACGCCCCAGCCGCCGCGGCCAAGGCCGCGCGTGAATGTATGCGAGGGCCCCGCGGAGCTGCGGCCGGAATACACGCTGTCACCCCTCTTTCCACAAACCACCACACAGACCTCCCCCTCCCCACCCCCAGCCCCGCCTGCCCTAGCCCCGCCGCCGCGGCCGCCGAACCTCCCCGGCCTCCGGCCGCCCCGGCCCCTCACCGTCGACTCGCCTTTCCCCTCGCCCGCTCGCGCGCCCCCGGCAGCAGCACCATGTTGAATCGCGTCCCCAGGCCGAGCCGCCTGAGCCGGCGGCGCTGAGAGGCGGGCGAGAGCCGGGCCGCGGGGAGGGAAGGAAGGGGTGGGGGCCGCGCTCGCCCCGCGGCTTCGCGCGGATCCGGCAGTCGCCTGCCCCTCTAGTTTCGCTCCGATTTCTTTAAACTTTTTTAGAAATTCCCCTCCCTCCTTCCCTCCTCTCCCCCTGGCCTCCTGCTCCCTCCTTCCCCTCCTCCTCCTCCTCCTCCCCCTCCCCCCCTCCCTCCCTGCGCCGCCGCCGCCGCCGCCGCCGCCGCCGCCGCCGCCACCGCCGGCCCATGACTGAGCCCCGCCGCCGCCGGCCGAGGAATGGGCTCCGGGCTCTGGTAGGAAGCGCAGGGAGCGGGGGGCGCTTTTAAAACACCGATCTGGGTTTTTTAAAAACCTCCTTTCAAAAAATAATGGCAAACTCGACGGGGAAGGCGCCTCCGGACGAGCGGAGAAAGGGACTCGCTTTCCTGGACGAGCTGCGGCAGTTCCACCACAGCAGAGGGTGAGAGCAGAACCGGGGGGGGCAGCGCCGGGGCGAGCCGGGGCGAACGGGGCTCTCCCGCCCGGGCCGGGCGCGGGGTCCCGGCTGACAAGTGCGGGGCTTTCTCTCTCCCGCAGGTCGCCTTTTAAAAAAATCCCTGCGGTGGGTGGGAAGGAGCTGGATCTTCACGGTCTCTACACCAGAGTCACTACTTTAGGCGGATTCGCGAAGGTGAGTGGAAGTTTTAATTTGTATTTCCCTCTCGCTGGCCTCTTCCAAAAAGTCTCCTTTGACCCCGGAGTGGGCGCTCGGGGCCGGGGGGGTGGCCCGCGGGGGCAAAAGGCGTTCTTTTCGCTCCCAGCCGGTGGCACGGAGGCGGACGGCGGCGGGGCTGTTTTTGGCCTGGTGGCTCGCGTGCGCGCGGCGGGCGCGGGGCTCGGGCGGGCGGGCGGCCCGGCGCCGGCTCGCGCCCTGCCCGGTGCCCGGCCGGCCCGGCGGGGTGGAGCGCCGCGGCGGGGAGTGCGGGCGTGCGGGGCGCCCGCCCGAGCCCCGCGCCCGCGCCCGCCCGCCCGCTCGCTCGCTCGCGAGTCAGCTCTGCCGCCGCTGCCGCTCTAGCACAGGCGGAGACACAGAGACACACAGACTCTGAGAGCAGTTTTCGTGCAACTCAAAATTAGCGCGGGCAGGTTTAACATCGATAATCGGCTGCGAAATGATCCCGGCAGCCGGGGGCACAGCCTCGGCCCCGTCGCCCTCGGTTTATACAGCTAACAAAAGAAACCAGGACCTGTCTCCAAATAGCCATCTTAGGCTTCAAGGCTAGGCAGAAGCTGTAGGCCTCAAAGAAGGGCCTATGGAGATGGATAGATCTGGGAGAGGGATCGGAATCGGCCCCGGCCCCGGCCCCCCCAGAACCTGCGGACGTCGCTGTCCGGAACAGTATTGATCCTTTTGAACTTTTTTTTTTTTAGTGTAAACGGACCGCGTTGAGATTTAAAAGGGGGCGACAGAGGGACTTGCGATTGGTTATTGTCCGGGCTTCAAAAACAAAACAAACCCACCACCCCCCTCCCGCCCCCCAAACAAAACAAGTGCTATTAAATACTGGGCTCTCGGGTGAAAACACAGTGATTCAAGCAGCCCTTGCTTAGTTACTCTTACGGATCGATGTGAAACACCCACTGATGCCTGAGGTATCTACAGATCTCTGTAGAATGGGTATTTATTTCATAGTTAGGTTAGAGTTTTCTTGGATGGTGCACTCTCAGACAAGTGTGGCTGTGTTTTTAACAGGTTTCTGAGAAGAATCAGTGGGGAGAAATTGTTGAAGAGTTCAACTTTCCCAGAAGTTGTTCTAACGCTGCCTTTGCTTTAAAACAGTATTACTTGCGGTGAGTAGTAGTGACTCTTCCACAGTATTTGGAATTGAGGGACTTAAGGGGACGTTTGTTTTTAGGGAAAAAAAGACACCCCCCCCCCAAACAAACCTTGCTCACCAAGCAGTTTCTAAACTTCTGTTCGTTTTTTTCAGTCTGAGAAACATCAAATATCCATAAAGTGGGGTTGTAGGAAGGTGAAAGTTTTCCTCACCTTTTTTAGGACTGTTTACATTTTTCATACAGGATCATTACAGGTGACACACCACCCCCCATCTTGGTAAACATTCTTTTGTGACATTGTTATTGATTGCTTGATATCCACGGAAGGGCAGAGAGGTGATGCTTAGTAAAAGAGTTAAGATAGTTAATGAAACTTTGTATCCCTTGGGAAAATTTTTACTTTGCTTTGGAAACTCCTTTGCCTTTTTAAATTCTTTAAGATTTAAAAAAAAATGAAACCTCTTGTGTTGAATCATGTAACGGAGTGGTTTCTCAGTAGAATGTTTCCACACAGCATAACATGTTGGTGCCTTAGGTGACCAGGATTGTTTTTCAAATAAGTTCTTTGGAATCTTTGAGTGACATAAAAACGTTCAAAAGGATTATTATATATGTAGGAAGATTAAGGATACTGTGAAAGGGAACATTATGATTTGGATTTCCTTTCATTCTCTCCCTCCTTTTTTGACTCTATATGACAAAATAAATTTCTTATTCTGTTGATAGGTCATGCAGCTTAGGTAATATATTTTCTGATTAAGCTTTATATTTTTTTTCTGATAATATTTTCATATTGTAATGTATCATGAGGTCATCTTTTATTTTTAATGCTTAGTTTCTCATAGAGGGTCTTTAGTTGGTGGTGGTTATTTAAAACTAAAATAATGCTCTTCATATTTATTGCTTTTTAATAATGATATAATTAAAGGGATATAAAAAAGGGATAGCCTTTTTTTAGTTAACATGGCTTCTGCATAGTTTGAGTTTGGCATTTATCATTGCTCCAAATGCAATATCCAAATGTAGATATTCTGTGTGAAGTTCAGCTTTCTGAAGTAGGAAATGCAGTAATTGCCCAGGTGTACTTTCTATTGGCTATCTTAGATTGACTTCAGGCTTGAAGCTGAGGAGTTCACAGAACTTTGTGGGTAGTTACTGAGTTACACAGAAGTCTAGAAAATATTAAATATGGCTAGTTGTTATCTGTTCTAGTGTGTGCGTGATGGCAGTGTGTGTCAGAGTACATTTTTAAATAAAGGTCTAAAACAATAAACAAAGTGAAATTAACCCCCCAAACTGTTGATTTAGTAATGTGGTGAGAAGTAGAGAATTTTATATTTATGGTGCTAATTCATTTGCTCATTTCCATTTATAACATTGAGAGGAATATGATTAATACAGGTCTTGGTTTTTTGGTAGTCAGTTTGAACTATTTGGATTTTAAACTGTTTAAAACACATTTTAAAGTTATGCCTGATATTTATTGGATTGATTGATTGATATTTAATATCCAGAAGGTACTGAATGATAATGAGTGGTTCATGAGATGTGTGTTATTGTGAAGAATATATAAACAGGATTTTAGTATATTCAATTAAATGTCTAGAATTCCAGTTTTTTTGCAAGTTACATAAATACTGTTTTTCCAGTTATAATTTCTATCCGGAGATCATATCATTCACTGATTGTACTTATAAGTACTATTTTTAAATGCAGAGCTTCAGGTTGTTTGCAACTCTTTACATTGTTCTCGGATCAATTTGAGCTTTATGCTCCTATTAGAAGCTGCTTTTTGAACTATGTCCTTAGCTAAACTTGTTTTTCCTCCATATGTCACTCTCCAGGTTTGTTTTTGTAGGGTTGTAGCTAGGCTACTAGGAAAAAAGTTGAAGCATTTGTTTTGGAAAATAAAGCCATGTGAAGATTTGCATGGCTTGTAAAGAAATACAGGAGAAATATGCTGGTCAAAAATTGGGTACTACCAACCTTGAAAGATTTTTTTTTTTTTTTTTGATGGTGGTGTAATATTGCACAATTAGAGGACATGTATTATGCTGGGTTTTACACCTACCTCTGAAAAATCTTAACTGGCAGACAGGATGCCAAGCTTTCACAGTAATTCTGTTACTTAACCATAGGAGTACCTCTTTATAGTAAGAAATAGTAATAAAGTGACTTTGTGAGTTCCCTCTTTGATATATCAAATTGAATATCATGGTTTCTGATGAGCAGACAATGCAGTGTGTTTTATAAATCACAGGTAGAATAATTTTTTAAAATAAGAATTGCTTTTCCTTTGACTATTATACGACTGCTATTACACATATCAGTTCTCATTTACTCTATAAGTTTAATATTTGCTGACATACCTCTGTAATTTCATGATTACATTGGGTGGATGGCTGTTAGCCTAGTATAGCCAGGATGAAGATATGGTACATCTTCATGATATTGCAGATATTTAAATAAAGAGGAGCAAACTAGTGTGCTGGCCATGTATATATTCTAACATTTCTGTTCGTTTTGATACAAACATAGTCTTGAGTGTAGAGACTTGAGTTCAGTGGTCTGTCAGAAAGTTTGCTTGATTGTATCAAACATACCTTTGTTCAGTTGTAGATTGCATATAAAAATTTCTCAAAGTTTAAAATTGAAAATGTGATTGATGATTTGTTTAAACACCAGCATTTAATGTTTTAAATGTTCATGACTACTAGTAATGTGTGAGAGTACTCTATTTAAAAATTGGATATTAATCCTCCATCATGTCCATATATTTTGTTTTCACTTAGTTCCTTTCTTGGCCTGTCCATCTCCATTTCTTCCACAGATGGTAATTACTAGAATATCCCTATCACTATAAAAAGATAAGGTAATATTTTCTTCATTCTTGTAGTTGGAGAAATTAAAGTGCAAAGTATATCCATGTGCTTTAGGGGCATTTGTTAACTGGACAAAAAAGTTGTATTCCTGACGCATGTTCTGAAATATTTAATCAGTCTATTATGAATTCAGTTAGTCACAAATGATTTTAAGAAATTAAATGTGGTTGGAAGTTACATATGGTTAAATGTATGCCCGATATGAATGCATAGCTATACACAGTGTTCTATATTTACTCAGTGAATTTTATTTTATTTTTTGTTCTGTTTTGGTGCAAAGATTGGGACACAATTTACTACTCTTATTTCCATTAAAAATTTGAAGACTTGGTATGGAGATTTAGGTAAATATTTCAAACACTAAGTTGAAGAATTTTGTTGTAGCTTATACCAGCAGTAGTCAAGGTTAACTTAATATTTCTGTTATAAAACTTGATTTTTTGGAAAGGAGATGAAATATCTTTGACATTAAAATATTTATTTTTATTTATTTATTTATTTTAAGATTTCACTTATTTATTTGACAGAGACACAGGGAGAGAGGGAACACAAGCAGGGGGAGTGGGAGAAGGAGAAGCAGGCTTCCCACTGAGCAAGGAGCCCGATGAGGGGCTTGATCCCAGGACTCTGGGATTGTGACCCGAGCAGAAGGCAGATGCTGAACCACTGAGTGACCCAGGAGCCCCTAAAAAATTTATTGTACAAAACTATGAATTACTGATTTCCTTATAATATTGAATTTTTTTTACATGTATCTACCTTTAGAATAGCAACTTTATTGTGGCATTGTATTCAACAGAGTGAATTTTCAGTTGCATTGTGAATTTATTCTTTTTTTTCCCCTCTTGCTGAATAAAGTCCTCCCTTAAATTTTACCAATCTAAAGAGTTTATATTTATCACTTAAATAGAATGTATACATTCATGTTCTCTAGTTAGTGTACACCATGTAGATTACCTCTTTTAAGAGAAAGCATTTTTATGAATCACTTGCTGTTAAGTGAACGAATGCTTCACAATTGTAATAGAAAAGTAATATACTGACTCTGTGACTTGCTAAACAGAATTGTTAAGCAGACATTGCTTGCTTTATTCAAGGAAGAAAAATAAAAGTAATATGGAGATTGGAAGGACAGCTGTATTTAAATAAATTATTCATATTTGCATTTTAAATGTAATATTATAAACTGTATCCTTTCATTCTGAACAAACCTGATTTTGATATCTTCTAATATTCTGTTACATTTTAAAGGGCATGCAGACATGTTGAAAAGAAAGTAGAGAAAGTTGAAAGACTGATCAGGGCTCGGCCAGGTTAATGTTGTATCTTAGAAATAATGTTTAAACAGCTTAAATTTGCCCCAAAGTAGAGATAAACCTAACTTACTCCAAGATAGTTCGTTCACTGAAGATATCTATTTTACTGAGGATACCAACTAGGAACTTAACCATAACTCCCAAAAATGTTTGTGCTTTTTTACATTTATATTTTCTGCCTTAGCAGTTAACTAAAAATGTCTATTTCTAAATAGGAGCACTCTTTTATAATCCTACCCGTACACTGTTGTGCAGTCAGTATTTCCATAGTTGGTTGTGTGTAAAATCCTCTGTAACTTTAGTAGAAAAGCATATCACTGCTGTGACTCTTTTTTATTGCCAAACATACTGGAAGTTGGAAAAGGAATGAGGAACAAACATTTTAATTCATTGCAACTTAAGTACATTAGTCTATGAGCAAGTATTCAATACATATTTTTAGGTGAAGTGTTTAGAGCTTTTATTAATATTTGGTAAAGAAGTCTACTTGGCATTTTCCAGAGTGGTATAGGCATTACTAAAATTTACTGGCAAAAATGCATTTTGTCCAAATTGGGAATTAGAAGACGTATGGGGCAGAGCAAGGGGGATTTTCTCTGTCTGTGCTTCTTTGATCTGCCACCAACATCATCACCATACTCTGATATTTGGGATCAATTAGAGTAGAAATTCCCAATTTGTGCTTTATAAAATACTGTTCTCTCGAAATGTCCTTGAAAAAACGCCAAATGAATTTGAGCAGTAAAGCAAAACTTGGGTTACTTTATTGCAGGACTTCTTATAGACTTTATTTTGTTGATGTGCATGTGGATCT